TACCAATGAGTTGTGAAAAACAGATGGACAATGAGAACCAGCATCATAAACCTGAGAAAATTTAAAGAACGGAATTAAAGCAGTACAACCTAAATGTTTTTTTTCAAAAATAAATGTTTTTATATGCAGGTTCAACAAGAGGTCTAAAAGCTGAGCATTTAAAGAATAAGGGGTACCTTGAGAACCTCCGCATTTGTAAAACTACTCCAACTGTGAATAGCTATAACAGAGTCCTTTGCGTCCTCAAAAGCTGCCCAATCCTTACTCTACTTCAACCAGAGATCTGCCCAAAGGAACATGCGTTGAACCTTAATCATAAACTTTCTTCAACCTTGGATCAGCTTAAACCTACATAGCAACATCCATGCTCTCAAACTCAAAGATGCAATCAAACACAATCAACTTAGCAAGGGACTACATCTCTCTCACATTCTTGGCAGCAAGCTTTCTCTACTCCCTCTGGTCAACTTCGGCTTGGAACCCTTGTCCAAACAAGAGTTGGGCCTTGTGAGGATTTTGATCCAATATACTATTCTTTAATGACCTTCAACTCCTTCTCACGATCTTGATCTGCCAATTTCTCCAACCACGCACACTCACGCTTCTTGGCTTCCTCTTCGTGCTGGCAATTGTAGCATTCCGAGCAGTGTTCCCTGTCTCGCCTCCTTTCACGATCTCGGCAGTTGGAATTGGGGGAGTGTTTGGAGGAGCTGGAGATAGAAGGATTGAGGTGATGAAGGTGGTGTTGTTCTTGGATGCAACGCTCCTGAAGGCATTGGAGGACCAACTGCTCTCTCTTTAGTTAAGAAGACAGGCCTGAAAAAAAATCATAGGAACCTCCATTGGAAAATGAAGGGTCATGGGATTCCTCTCTACATGACGTAAAGCATCCTTCACCACAAACCAGCTAGGAAAATGGAAAACATCAAAACACTTGGATTCAAAAGAAGAAAGGCCCACTTTTGAACCAACAAAGGCAAGAATAGGAAAAACTGGCAACAATAGAAAAAGAAATTGTCATGGCCTTGACAGCAGTAGGAGAAATTTCTAAGATCACCTCTGACAATGGGATCCACCCCCATCTCGGCAATATCCCAAGCAATTGGAGCCATAACAACAGATTTTGAAGGATTCTCCTCCATCAAAACAGAAAAATGGCAAAAAAGAAAGAAAACGCAAGAACCAACGGAAGCAAGGATCGAAACAGAACCGGAAGTAGGGATCGGAATAGAGTTGGAAGCAGGGTTCGAAACAGAACCGAAAGCAGAAGGATTAACGGCCATCACAAGACAACTGGCCTGATCAAATCACAAGATTAAAGAAGTCTTTCTCAAAAAGGAAGAAAACGAAAAAGCAAAAAGAAAGAAAAAAAAAAAAAGAAACAAAAAAGAGAAAGAAGAATCGGGAAACCCAAGAAAGCCCATTTGAAAGCCAAAAGGATAAATTGCATAAAATCCCAAGGAAATAGGGGTTTAAACCAAAAGGACCTGCCATACCAAAAAACTATACAAAGGGGGCCACGTGCATAAAAAAAACTGCCAAGAAGAAGAAAATCTGGGAACTACAGCTGTGGAGATATGAAAAAATGAAGAAAGGACCTGAACAAATCAACACAAATCTGTAGAGCAATTAATTTCAACAAAAATAGTTTTTAATGAGGAAACTATGCCAAGAATCATGAAGGAAAAACCTGTGTTGCACTCTTTTTTCCTTAAGCTAGATTTTTTATCCCACAGGGTTTTTTCTAGTTAAGGTTTTTTACGAGGCAATCACGGTTGAAAAAGCTGGAACCTATGCAGAATTCAAAATCAAGATTAGCAAAACAATAAGAAAGAGAGACCCATTGAAGTTTTCACTGCTCTCAAACTTCTTCGTGAGGGGGCAAATGTTATACCCTAAATCAAGTCCCATGAGAATTACGACACGTGGAGACATTCTAGAGATAATCCTATCAAAAGTAGAATAGGATAAATCCCACTAGAATAAGAATACCACACACACACCAATCAAATAAAATTGTATTCTTAGAATAACTATATTTAAGCATCCTATAAATACCTTTAGGATCAACCTAAGGAGGTAGATTATTTTTCCATCATCATTCTCTCTTCATTGTAAACCCTCTCTATCAACAAAGATCTTGGTTCCACACCATCTATTCTATTTTTTACTGTTAACATACTCCTTAATCGAGCCTTCTTGTTTCACATTTTCATCATCATTTTGAAATCAACAAAATTCACATCACAGCCATAGACACCCACAACAAATCTTGCATATAAATCTGGGCAAAATTCATACCAAGAAGGCCATTGTACCCTGTTTTGCAAGTAAATTCCTAACCATTGTAAAGCTCCACCCTTAAAATGCAAACTAGCAATTTGGTACTTGAATTCTTCAACAATTTTATGGACATGAAAATATTGATTGCATCTAAACACCCACAACTTAAGATCTCTAGTTCCATCAAATTGGGGAAAACTAGTTCTTTGTAATCTAGATACACTGCTAAAGTAATTTGACACAAAATTGGGACCGAAATTCCTTATAGTGGTTTCTTGATGAGAAACATGGTTATGCCAACTTAGGGTCCTCAAGAAATTCTCTTCTGCTTCATTGAACTCACATTCCTTTTGTATCTGTTCTTACACCCATGGATTTAATGCATTTTCATATGATCGCCGTAGCCACAGGTCGAAGGTCGTAAGCTTTGATACCAAATGATATAACCCAGTCAACAATTAGCAAAGAATCAAGAGATAGAGATGAGAAAAGAATCGAGAAGGGAGGTGAGATGAGAAACAGAGTCTTAGAAGGGATGAGAAGAGAAGAGAGAAATTGAAGGAAGGAAAAATTGTATTCACTTTCGATAACCAATTATGTTACAAGAATGAGCTTTATAGCTACTCTTTGTACATGCATCATATCTCATGCATCATCATTTATATTCATCATCAACAACCGTCCACCCAAGCACACCCCCTGCCACATCAGCTATCTTATTTCCAGTCTTGTAACATACTAAGTACTGTCTTTTTATGTTACCATTATGATTTTTCCAATACGATTGTCTTAATGAGTTAACTTGAGCAACTTTACTTAAATTTGATATTCAAGACTAACAAGACATGCTCTTCTGTTCTAATTAAGTAAAATATGTTGACTTTTCTCCCAACTCATTCAAGATGGAAAACGAAAAGCAAGAAGAAAGAACCCAATTTTTTTTAATATTATCTGGACATTAGGGTGTAGTTTGGAAGAACATCCTTATATCACATACAACTTGAAAATAAATTATGAGTCCTTATTTAGTAGTTCGGACTTGTACCATACTACACAATAATGATAACTAGATGAGAGAGAGACCCTTGATATTAGAGCCATTCCCCATCTAACCACTCTTGTTTTACAATCTAAATTGCACAACAATTTTTCAACAAATTATATCAAAATTTAATTTATTTATTTACTATTTTTAAGGTGCAGCTATGTCTAGAGCCAAAATGCTATGGTTATTGTTTACACCACATTTGACACTTTTCTTGATGATGCCACATGTCTTTAATGGAGATTTAATAACTATAATTTTTCTATACAATTGGAAATTTCAAAATGATCAATGACCACGATTAGGTGCAGAAAAGTCCACAATAAGGAGAAATTTTTGTGTAATGAATTTCTACCACTTGACAGCAATGGAAGGGAGAATCCACACAATCATGGAAGTTACCGAAATAGTGCTGAATAGTTCAACTTAGTTGAAAAAAATAAAAAAAAAGATCCAACAAGCATGACTCTAGGGATTTTTAATAATTAAAATTAAATTTCTAGCAATCAAAATGATACATGGCAGAAGTCTATTTTGTAAGAAAGTATTTAAAACTGTTGAGATTTCATTTGATTTGGTCAAACATGATAGCATAAAAGTTAAAGAAATTGCAATCAAATCAGATTTTTGACAAACAAGTTAAGTTATAGAGACCAATAACTACAAAGATTTCAAGACAAAGTTCAAGAGACTTGTCTGTCTCTCTCAACAACACACAAATTTACATTTCAACATGTGTTAACTCCAGTTTTGTCAAAAGTGCAAAATGGTTAAGCGCTAACCTCAAAAAACACTTAAATAATGAAGTGAAAAGCAAAGCGGGTGCTTCATTAAAGTGAAGTAGGTTATTAAAAAAATATTATATAATGACATGTATATCTTAAAAAGAGAGATTCAAAACATGAGGAGTAGTTTGTTAACTCCATGATTTTATCAAAGACAAACAAGGAAAAGGAGAAAGAAAACAGAGAGGGAAAAGTAGGAATAACAAAGCAAAAAACAAGAGAAAAGAGGAATAATACCTAGAGAAACTCTTGTAAGGAATAACCTCAAAGAGAAAACAGTAGTAGTGAAGAAGAGAATGCACGTAGCAGCAAGGAAGAAAAAGAAATAGGCTGAGCGTGCTCTTATTGTTTTAATTACTTCCATTTAATGGTTGAAAGTTCCTTTTTGCCCTTGAAATTAAAATATCTATTGGCTAAATTATAATTTAAATGGGGTATTTTTGTCTAAATTGAAAAAATTAACAGGAGCGCCCACTTCAAGGTGCTTCACACTTCAACCGCTTATGTGGAATTCAACCCCGCTTCACTGAAGTGGAAAGCGAACACTTTTGGCAACACTGCGTAACTCAATGCTAGTTTAATTCATAAATAAACTCTATAACAATTTTGCAACTTTCTTATTAATGTAAAAAAAGTTCAACTCCCTCTACGACTTTTTTGTTTTAATTGTTTCTGGTTAAATTAGCTTTAATAGTTAAATTTAATTATACTTGTTTTTCTTCTGCGAGCACATTTTATATTTCTATCTACAGTTTACAATTTTGTCTAGTTGTTAAGCTCTAGATTTTACTTTGTTAACAAATTTATATTTCAGCCTTCAATTATAATTCAATTTGTTTAAGTTTTAAAGTAAAGATGTTATTTTTTATTCACTTCTACTAATAGCTAGTTCCACTTCTACTAATAGTTTTTTTATGTTTCTACCATCTCTACGTTTAAGTTTTGCCTAATAATTTAATTTCTAGCTTGTCTAGTTGCCCTTTACATTTCTACTAGTACATAACTTTTACATATCTTCTCACACTCTTTAGTTTATGTCGGCTAGTACTTTTAATTTTTAATCTTGCTAAGTTTTAAGTTTTTTGTAACACTTTTTAGTTTAATGTTTTTCCATTATATTTGTTTTAGATCATCATGTGTTTTTGCCATGCACCTTTTCTCTTGCCCTTTCTCTATCCTTCTTATTTTTGCCAATTTTGATTGACAAACTAACTTTATTGTAGTTTTAGACTGAGAAGTCTCTAATGTTTTTCTAAAGTAATTATTTTTTAACCTTCATGCAAGAATGCACTTCCGTTTCAACTAAAATTGTCTAATCAAGGTATTATTAGCATAATTATTCAATCAAATGGTGTTCTTCTATTGACTTTTAATTAAGTTTCTATGCTTAGAAGAAATGAAGGTTGCTAGAAATCTTTCTTTATTGCTTTGAGAAAAGCAAGTGACACACTTAAGCACTTCTGCCACGAGTGGCCAAGAGGAGAGGATTTTGGGGGAAACATTTACAATGCCACATAAGCTTAGGGTAATATTAATTGAAAGTGATGTATCATTAAATGAATAAATTGGAGATCCTTTTGGTGAAAAAAATGAATTATATAGTGACACATTATGTTATAAACTAATGACACATTATGTTATAAACTTATGACATCACTTAACATTATAATTATATATTTATATTATTATAGATTTCTATAGAAAGATTTGATGCATCCACGCAAATCATGTTCTGGGTCCCGGACAACTTTCATCAAAATGGGTCCCATGCAGGATTTGGGTGTATACAACAAATCCTACCATGCAAATTTGCTTACTCTCATCATTAACATTGAGTAAAGCACAAAAATGCCTCAAAAGGAAATCAACTTGCAATCAAGGTCATGCAAGCCCAATTTATATGGGTCTCCTAGTTGTATTTCTTGTTTATCACAAGCTAAAATCATGTGAATAGCAACACAACCAAGTAAATAATGTCAACATACGTACAATGGAAATCCCCTTTAAGTATTCAGACAGGATCAAAGTAACATTCTCCAAAGAGTAAAGAGCACAACTTGCGAATCAACAGAAAAGCCCCTACTCCAGTTACCTCAAACTATAACAACTAATATACAAAGTGGCTAAAGGGGAAAAAGGTCAAAAACAATAAACAAAAAGGTTGCTAGAAGATGGCTTTACTCAACAGATTCAGAGGAAAAAGCCAAAAAACAAATGTGGGAAGCCCTAATTACTTAATCTGTACATGCACAGGTTCTCTCTAGCACCTTAGAATCTGTTCTGTAGGAGTGCCTTGAGGGAGAACTTGATCCCCTTGAAGAACTATGAGTGAAGAAGCTCAGTTTACTAATTTTCTTTGAGAAAGAAGTTAAGAACTTACGAGAATGAGACCTTGCCATATCTCTCTTCATGCAGACATGATCTTTCTCTAGATCATTTAATCTCATCCGTAACCGAGCAAGCTCAAGTTTTAGCTCACGGTTTTCTCGCCTCAATGATGCATAGTTGTCTCGAGGAGACATTGCTGCACTGAGTGCACCACTGTTGATCCTCCATGACTGCTGCATTGGCTTGGGATCATCATCAGCATAGGAGCTGCACAGAGCATTCCGGAGCCTTAATTGCTCAAAATAGAGCACTTGGACAATGGATTGGAGGGGAAGGCGTTCATTTTGTGCAGCATGTGCACCAGCTTCTTGCGAGAGCTTTTGGAAATCAATTAATTTGCAAAGCTTCTTCCTGTCTATTTCTGATAAACCCTGATGAGCCTGAACATGCATTCTCTAGAAAGTTAGAAATAGAACTTTTAGAAATCACTTATTTCAATATATAAAATACTCTCCAAATCTGGTAAGCCATTTGAGATATAAAACATTATTGGATCCTTTAGAAGGTCATAGATTTTAAAAAGAAAAGTAAGCCACATCAAAGTAATCTCAAATGTTGCTTAGTTCAATATCTAGAAATGAAGAATCAAAATATTTTCTTTCTGGGAACTTTATCTCTTTCTTTCTTGAAACCAGTGGCTAGGGTAATCGTTCCTTCAAGCCTAAACCTACAACAAGCATCTGTGATATGCAGAAGAGCTTTACTTTTAGGTAGATATACTTTTAACATGTCTTAAGCACTCCTTCCCATCCCATGTTAGTCTGCAGCAAAATAGAAAAACATCAAAACATATTTCCAGATAAAAAGAGAGGAAGATATCAGCATAAGTACTTTCAGGTAAATATCAATGGCACGATATAGCCCGTCATGAATGGTACAAGCATGTGTTGGCAAAGTTTCGGCAATGGCCATGAACTTTGAAAGCTTTAGGTTTGCATCGGGAGCAATTTCAGCAAGATAATTGTCAACTAGTTTTGAAACTTTAAACAGAGCAGTTTGGGATGGTGAAGGAAGACTATCTGACTCAAAAACAGATGCATCATCCAAATCTTCATCACTATCATCTTGTTGTGAGAAATTTACTAAGATCCTTTGAACTGTGTCAACATCAAATAAGGTATCACCTGCATGCCTGAAAGTTGGGATCAAAAGGTCATCTAGAGTTGCAGTATCTAACTGAGATCCAATCTTCTCTCTAAATCAAGTCTACAGTCAATGCTGCAATCAAGCATCACCGCACTACACAGAAGACCGAAAAGAAAAGTGATAGGAACAAGAAGTTTTACAACAGGCAAAAGGCTGACAATGGTTTCAACCACAACTCGTTCATTTGAATTTGATTCTGAAGTCAGATCAACTTTTGCCTGTCCAGATGGATTCCATAAACTGACTTTCTTGGTCAGCTCCTTTTGGGCATAATTTACAAGGGATGCACCAACACTCTCAGGACGGGCCCCACGGTATTTCATTGCTGTCATCACTCTTTGATACAGGTCTATCCTAAGAACAGACAGATCTTCTATCCACCAGTTTCCTTCACATTTGGCATGTCTGTTCATGTGAAGCCTACCTGAACTGCTGTACTGTAAACGTGAGAAGCTTGAAGCAATCTGTTCAGCACAGGCTTTGGAAGCTATTGTATCTATGCAACGACTAACTATCTTCAGCTCATCAGCCAGAGGAAGTAGCTTCTCACATTGTTGCAAAACTTCAACACACATTTCAAGATTCTTGCAAACAATGCTCTCCAAATATTCTTCAGCACGAGAACCAAGATTATCTTTTGAGAACTCTTCAGTCATTTCTAAGTAATCAGAAACACAGCAGAGTTGAGCCACATTTGATGATGTAATTTCAAAGTTAATACCACAACAGAATTTTGCAGCCAGCTCAAATGACTCAGTAGCTCCTGGTAGATTAAGAAGTTCCACTCTTGAGACATAAGAATCCCTATGTTCTGCAACTAACTTCCGGATTCTCCCACTTCGAGAAACTAGAGGGAACTACAGTTAAAAACTAAGCTTATCAGCATGAAACATCCTGACACTAATTTGCATAAAGCAAAGTCCTATCAGCATGAAAGCATCCTGACACTAATTTGCATAAATCTAAAATAATAAAAAATAAAAAGCTTTCTCACCAGAGTGAAACCAACTAGATAACACCAGTAAATCCACTAAGGGCACCATTTGCCTTAGGCAATTATATCCAGTTAAGATCAATGCAGTAAGACTACTGATATTATTTTTGTTTTCCAGGCAAAGTAATTATTATACATATGGTGTCTAGTTGTGATGAAATAAATGTAAGAATTATACATATAGCAATAAAGGCATACTGATAAATAAGTTGTGATGAAGAACACTATTTTTACAAGATTGTTTTAAGTTATTTTAAGGCAAAATGAAGAAAATTTGAAAAAAAAATAATGACCTGTGTTTGTGAAATTTATATTTAAATATATGATAAGCATAATATGACGTGATTCAGCATGCCAAAAAAGATATAATGATTCAAAATCCTCTGAGAATTAATAGATTGACTTTTAAAACTTTCTATCTCAATATACCTTTCAAGTCAGCATTAGCTAACCCAACTGTTTCCCAAACTCCCCTCCAGACAAAATTTTTCATACTTTATATATAATTATTGTGAATCTTTCAAACAGGTTATGAAATTACAAGGTTGAACTTATTTTAGATTATTCTCTACACGAAAATCAAATAAGTCCGCTTTCTGTTATTTGCACCACTCAAATTAGAACAACAAAGAAGGATAATACCAGATTAAGACATGCATGTAAAGCCATTTATCTTTTCTCTCATTCTTTCCACTAAAAGAGAAGAGAAGAGAACAGAGAAAGGAAAAAAGGGCTTGCCAATTATAGGATGCATGTTGCCAAAGAGAAAGATAAGAACAAAATTCAGAATGAAAGAAACCAACAAATTACCTTATGCAGTGCAAACGTCCCTCCATTGACCTCTATAGTGATGTCAGTTGCAACATCCCGAAAAATCCTACAAATAGAATATGAGCATTGCCTTGTTATTGACAGAAGAAACAAATGATCTCTTGAAAAAAAATGTGCAGATAAGAGGAGTATCATTAAGGAAGCTTCATGAGTAACTCTAGCCCCACAAAATATCTGAACACTCTCAACAGAGGGAGCTCAAGCACTGGAACATTGAAGAGGATGCCATCATTCACCCTTAAAACTAAATTCTAATTTAAAATAAACAAGAAGAAGATCCAAAATTTTGAAAATTATAATAAAAGGCAAAAATAGTTATTGACAAGCCAATAGCCTACAAGGTTGCCAGAAGAGATGCTTGATCTATTCTTTATAGATTAAAAGCAGTTGCCTTGCCAATTCCCATTCAAGATTTCTTCAAAGGGCTCTCTCTTATCCAACGCAGAAACTAAACCATACAAAGGCATCTCCTAAAAACAAGAAAAGGAATACCATGCTACAAAAACAAGAAAGCCATTGATAGAACAACCAAAAATCTCAATCAGAAGTAGAAAACAACATCAATCATAGAACGGACAGAAACCATGCTGCAGCTTTCATAACAGAGAAGCAAGAATGAGAAAAATTGACTACACAACAACGGTAAGAAGAAAAATGTCACAATTCTAGTGAATTATACTACTAATACAATGCAAAAGCATTAAAACAAACCATTCATTGCATCTCTGCCTGGCACTCTTAGCCAGGGATAGCTGCCGCTTGTCCATGGAAAATTAAGAGAGTAAGAGGTAAAGAACGAGAAGTTTAGACTTAAGAGAGTAAACGAGAATGGAGAAGTGGGGTTAAGGAAAAAGGACAAAGACAGACTTTGTTTAACATCTTTGGCAAATTTTGTCAAACCGATGGTGTCCAAACCATAGATTGCAATCGTCCAAAGCACTGGGGCCTCTCTTGTGGGTCATGCCATGCATTTTTCTCTGCTTTTTTTTGGTTTCTTTTTCATGTGATACTAAAAACGTGGGATTGCCCAAATCTTTTGGCTTCAACCATGTTGCTGATACCTCTGCTTTGATGGTTTAAAGCGCAAAAAAAAGGGGATGGATGAATTTGCTTAAAGTCAAAATCTTTAAGTAGAGAACACGAGTAAGGATGAAAAAGGAGGGAACAAAAGCAGAAGTAATCTTGGACAATTTTTGCACGCTTTACTCTCTCTTCGGAAGAATCAAGACAATAGTTCAAATGCATTTTGTTCTGCACAGTGCCAATGCGGTCAGTTTTATATGTTTTTCATTTTTTCTTCAACGTTAGAAGTATTTACCTATCGACTTTCGCATATTTTGAAACTTCTGATGACTGTCATAAGGATGCACTAGTAGGCAAAACCCGCAATCCACCCTAAAAAAATATACAGTAAGGACACATTCATTCTTAAAAAAAAATAGAGATAAATCATCCTTCAAATCATAAATTAATACAAATTATTTTTTTAATAAAAAACGTCAAAATTCTATTTGTCACGTCAACATTTTTTAATAAAAAACATTGAAAAAGAGATGATTTGTATTGATTTATGATTTGGAAGAACAATTTATTCATGGTTTTTTTTAAGAGTGAATGTATTTCTACCGATATTTTTTTAGAATGGATTTGAAGGTTATGCCTGCACTAGTATATTACACCTTGTCAGCAAGAAGAAAAATTATTTTTTTCGGTGAAAGTCAGCAAGAAGACATTTGCTTATTAGTGAAATGTGTTTCATTGTAATATGGTTTTTGTTATATATTTCACCTTTTTTTGAAAATGATAGTTATATTATCATATAAAATTAAGATAATAAGTTTATAATGATTAATATTAAATAAATACATATAATTTATGTATAACTTTATAAAAAGATTAAATTATATAATAAATTATATAATTGTAAACTTAAAATACTATTAGGTTCCCTTACACTTTTGAAAAAAAAAAAGTTTAATCCCTTGAGTTTTATTTCAATTATTTTTATTCATTTTTTTAAAGTTCATCCTATTTTAGTCCCTTTCTCACTATTTTTTTTTTTTATCATTGAAGATTATTTTTGGAGATGATGAGAAAGAGGAAAATCAAGATTTATGAAAAGTTGTTTATTATCAACTTTTTACAAGTTTTTGTTTATTATTAGTCTTTTAATTTTCCTATCTTATCATCTTATCTTATTAATTAATATTTTCCTACTAAATATATGTTAATTTTTTCCTTCAATTAATAATGTCAGCATTGTCAACCACTTTTAATTTATCAATAAAAATCATAGGATTCCACTCATTTTAAGCGAAGCACCATTTACATTTACCCATGCTTTCTGAAAACATAGCAGAAAGACCTATTTAAGCACAATTGCTTTTCTTTCTTTGTTATCTTTAGACTGTTTTTAACATTTTTAGGCATGAATTTTTACTTTGTGATACAAAGATATATTTAATCCAAAAGTTCACTCTATATAAGATTTTTTTTGTTTTTTTGTCACCGGAAAAGTTTAAGTGAAAGAAGTTACATCAGGCTGAGAGAATTGCTATGGTTGTGATTATCATTAAATTTGTTATGACTACTAAAATTGTCAAAATTTTATTTTAATTTGATTATTAAAAATAACTAATAACTGATAAATAGTTAATATTTATTATTTAACATATTAAAATCAATTTATAAACAAATGTTCTTAAATATTATAACCAATTGTTTAAGAAAAAGATTGTAAATTGATAAAATTACAATTAAAATTGGTAATTTTAACCAAATTTTTAGTGACAATTAGCTTAGCTGGGAGAATCTACAGAAATACTTACAATTAAACTTGAAACTAATAAGAAACAATAGTTGAAGAGTTCCAACCTTGTTACTTAGGCCAACTCTCAGAGCAGCCTCTAAGAATTTTAAATTAATAGATGATTAGTATACCTTTCAGTATGATGCACCTTTTGATACCTATCCGATTTAATTATGAAAATATAATATAAACATAAATAATTTAGTTAATTCTTGCATGCTATATACATAATTACATCTTTAAATTTATCTATTTTTAATTTTAAAGTAAAAAATAATAATTTTTTAATAAATGTGCTATATAGTATATTGAACTAAAATGTATACTAATCAGTCTTTTTAAATTATGTTTAGGAATGCGATTTTGAACCTAAGATATATATTTTCGACATTTGTACTCTCTTCCTCCTAAGTTTTTTCTTTTACTCAAAATTTATCTTAAACTACTTATTATTTGTGAAAATTATACGTGGGTTTTAATACAAGACTTGAATATAATATAAAAATCAATTGACATTAAATGGGGTAGTTTTTATTATATTCAACTCATATGCTTCTTTATCATTTTTTTAATGTGAGATTTTTCCACTTAATAGTTAACACACCCTCCTCGTGTACAAATTTAACATTAATTTTGAGTCTTATCACATGAATCTCATATTACAGACTCAAAGGTCATCCTCACATGCAAGTTTGATCTATCATGTAGATCTTAGGATAACAAAATAGGCCTGGCAGGTCCTCCGCTCATGAAGGCTTGAACTGTCATGGGATTTTAGGCTTCCCAAGAACAAAGCTTGAGCTTTAAATGTGAAAATTAGACTTGTGAGTTCTGACATAAGGTTTGTAGTCCAACTTAAAACCAATTGGCAAATAGGTGGAGTTAGTTGTGAGCATTGGGTATGGTTACACCTGTTACTCACAAGTATTTTATTTGTTTGGATAAGAACCATGCTTGAATTGTAGAAAAAATAGGTAAGTAATGGGTATGCAAATAGCTTACTTGTAAGTATCAAATCAAGTAACAAATATAGGGGTTCAAAACTATTTATTTGACTTGTTTAACCAACTTGTTTAATTGACTTGTTACCTATTGTATAATTGAAATTTTAAATGAACTTAGTATACTCAATATTAATATAATAACAATAATTTTTAAAAATAAAAATAATAAAATGCAAAAAAATAGAAATAAACGTTACGTAAGGCTTATAAGGGAAACAAATGACACACTTAACAATAGCAACTTGTATAAATAATAAACCCTAAACTAAACACATAACACACATAATAATAGCATCTTATACTAGATCATTTTTTCTCTTAGACTAAGTACATAAGTATATACCTACAAGTTACTCGATTCTTGTTGGGTTAAGTACCAAGTATAGGCCTTCGAGTATTTGGGAAGGTACCAAATCTAAAAAGTTGTGCTCGAAAATTTTCAAGTCAAGTATCAAATACAAATCATACTTGACCTATACGCGAAAATGGTCAACCCTAGGTGGAGTAGACTCATATTTAATTTCCATGCTTTTTTGTTATTTTTTCAAAGTGAGACTTTCACACTTAACTCCTTCTTTCATTTTTTAAGAGATAAATATTTTTTTCTACTTTAACTCTATTATTTTCCCTTAACTTTAATTATCCACCTTATCACCAATTTTTTTAATCTTTATTTCTTTCTTAGGGCTAATAGAGACAAATACAAAAATTATTCCTGAATTCTTAATTTGTGAAAAAAAGTCAACATCCTTTTTTGTTTATGTTATATTCCCTCCTAATTTAATTGTTGTAATTTGACTTTTACATAAAATTTGTACTCCTTTCACTTTGATTTAGCTGATGTAGTTTAACTTATGGTTTTATATAGCAAATAAATACAATCAAAAGTGTTTTCTTTTTATATATCATTTTTATTGAGTAGTTTCAGTTAGATTAAATAATTTTGGATTTATTATACAAAAATATCAAGTTAATTTAATTAAATTTGAAGGCTTAGAACAACTACAAAAGATTGGAGAGAGAGTTTATAGAAAGTATATAACAATCAAAATTTTTATACATAGTTTTTGTTAAGTAGTTTTTTTTAGACTAAATAACTTTTTTAGTGTCATTGATTTACTATATAAAAATAAAAGAACAATGTTTATCTCTCGAATCTCTAAATAATTAAGAGAAAAAACTCTAAAATATGTTGATGCACTAAAATCACCCTAGCAAGTATACTAGTCGCTCCAAGTAATATAATGATGAATAGAGTGTCGAACCCACGAGGATTGTGTCTAATTAAGTACCAAAATAATTAATCTAAATTTATTTGAACAATAAAAAGGAAGAAACTTTAATTGAAAATAATAAAAAGAAAATAACAAATAAATCTAATCAAGATAGGAGGTACTAAGGCATTGACTTCACCATAATCAATCAATATAAATTCTGGATTACCAAATTGTTGAGTGTTATTGCATGTGATTGCGGATTTCCCTAAATTAATTAACCAGCTTTCTCAAGTCAAGTTAATCCTTCACTTGTTTGTTAAATTAATCATATCTCTATGTAATTTTAAATAAACTTATGAGCATTAAATTCTATGGAAACCTCTAGCTTAAGAAGGGGGAGCTCCTAACTCTCTTCTCTTCCTCCACTACCACATATGAGCTAATTACCTCTCGGTCTCATAGTCTAGCACACGGTTTATATTATTATTGGTCTAATCTACGCAATTCTTTCTCAAGTTCATGCATAAATCACTAAATCAATTAAAAAATGATTAGACTTCCAATGCATTAAATTCAATAATATAAACTCCTCTTGCAAATAATTTTAATTGAAAGCATAAAATCACTAAATCCATATTGAATTGATTAGGCTACATTGTAGCCCTAATAGAATAAATCAGTTCATAATAAAAATAATAAAATATGAAATTAAAGTTATGAACATTCAAATATCAAACAATAGATAAAAACCCAAGGAAACAAAACCCAATTTGAGGAAATCAAACTCCTTGATCTTCTATTATTGAATCCTTTCTCTTGATCTTCAAGAATGCCCAAATGAGGGATGCCACCAGCCTCTCAAAACTCTCTCTATTCTGAATTTGGATGGGTATTTATAGGATTTTAGAAACCCTAATTGAAATAGAAGTAGGACTTGGAACAGAAATAGGAAACTGAATTTTGAATGCTGATCGCGTGGTGCTGATTATGTGTTGACACAAAATAGGAAACAGAATCTGATTCTGGACGTTTAACGCATGGTGGCGACACCTCGGTTACGTGTCGACACTACACCCGTTTTGGGTTTTTGCCCTACTTTTGCAATTTCTTCAATGGTAAAATAGCAGATTTGGTTCCTGACTTCTGGATGCTGCACAAGTTGATCCTCAAGTCTCTGATTTCTCCAATTTACTTCTAAAAAGTAGGATTTCTTCCAATTAAATCCTTTCCTACACAAACAATGAAAACCATGTAAAATCAAACAAAATCCCACGAAACTCATCCAAATATCAATAATATCAAAGTAAAAATTCTCTATTAATATGTATATAAATTTAGCTCATCATATGTCATTTAATAATTTTTCATTGAAAAATACTAAAATAATCTATTTTTATATAGTGAAAATGAGATTGTTTTGATCCGTTTTTTATAATGTTTTATTGAAAAACTTGGAAAAAAATAGTTATCTCCTTTAAAATATGAATAAACAACAAACAATTTTTGAGTGAAAAATGGACTATTATTTTGGCCATTAGTATAAAGATGAGGGAGTAAGACAACTAAAATATATCAAAGGTTGTAGGAGTTTAAATCATTGTATTTATAGATTATTAATAAAGAGAATAAGGGTATTTATATGTATTTATCAAATATAAATAAATTGTTTGGATCATTACCCTTGTGATCTATAATATAAAGTTACTAGTACTTTTAACATTCGAAGTCTACATAAAAAAAAAAAATGTAAATTGTTTGAAAAAAATGTAAATTGTTTGGACAAAATATCAAATATTAAATTTATATTATGAAATATTCAAATCAAATCTACTTATTTCTTTACAGTCAAATTAATTCAATTTTTTTTAGCAAACTAAAAGTAAAATAGTGAGGATATTTGGTATGTCGAGATTAGGAGCAAATCCCTAACCTAGCTCGCTACATCTAGCTTAGAGCATAAATAACTTTCCTACTAAATCACACCAGAAAAATCAATGTATCTT